TGATTCCATATTTCATATCCAATTCAGTTATCAAAACTACGGCAGAAGTTCTTGTACTTCTGTGTTACCTTTTGGCTATTGTCAAAGTTTGGGTTTTGCGGCGGAGTGATTCACGTCTTATTTTCAGTGGCACTTATTGCTACCAAGCAGAGAGCTACTCCTAGGGTTGTTATTGTTAATATTATTATTTATTTTTGAACTAGTTGGGCCTTATTGGCACTGTGGTCGGTCGTTTTCATTCTTGGTGTCAGTCGACCGATCTTGGAGCCACGATTAAATCTACATTTCTCAGGTCGAATCGAGCAATCTTGGAGCCACAGTCTGTCAATCGTCACTTAGTCCTTAGCCCGGCGACCTTGGGGCCACAACTGGCCATCTTCATCTCCCGGGTTAGGTCGGGAGATCTTGGCACTGTGATTTGTTGGTCTTTGCTTGGTGCTCAGTTGGGCAATCTTGGCGTTGCAGCATTCCATCTTCATCTCCAGGGTCAGGTCATGCAATCTTGGCACTGTGGTCTACAGGTCTTCACTTAGTCCTCAGCCAGCCAATCATGGCGCCGCGGCGGGCCATCATCATCTCACTGGTCAAGTCAAGCGATCTTGGCCCCTCGGTCTGTTAGTCTTCACTTGGTGCTCAGTCGGGCAACCTTGGCACTACGACTGGTCATCTTCATCTCCCGGGTCAGGCCGGGTGATCTTGGTGTTGTGCTCTGCTAGTCTCCACTTGGTGCTCCGTCAGGCAATCTTAGCACCATGGCTAGCCATCTTCATCACCTAGGTCAGGTCGGACGAGCTTAGTGTCGCGGTCTGTCGATCTTCATTTGGTGCTTAGCCAGCGATCTTGGCGCATCGGCTAGCCATCTTCATTTCCCATGTCAGGTTGAACAATCTTAGCATCGCAGTTTGTTGGTCTTCACTTGGTGCTCAGTCGGGCGACCATGGAACCGCAGCTGGCCATCTTCATCTCTCGAGCCACGTCGGGCAATCTTGGTGCCACCATTTACTGGTCTTCACTTAGTGCTCAGCGAGCGATCATGGCACTGTGGTTGGCCATCTTCATTTCCTAGGTCAAGCCTGACGATCTTGGCGTTGCAGTCTTCCAGTCTTCACTTGGAGCTCAGTCTAGCAATCTTGGCACCGCGACTGGCCATCTTCATTTCCCAGGTCAGACCAGGCGATCATGGCGTCGTAGTCAGCTGGTCTTCACTTGGTGCTCAGCTAGGTGATCTTGACGTCGTGGCTAGCCATCTTCTTTTCCTAGGCCAAGTTGGGCGATCTTGGCGTTACAGTCTGTCTGTCTTCACTTTCTTGAAAATTTTGGATCTCCATTAATGTAGTGCTTATTAACTTAATGCTCATTTTCAACGGAATAATAGAAAAAAAAAAGTTTTAACAAGGTGAGTGAATAATTTTTATCTAATACTTTCAAGGCATACAAGAGTGAATTCATAAAAAGACAAAAGAAAAGAAAAGAAATTTTTTTTTAATGAGTAAGTTGTAACATCGGTGTCCGTGTCTCACTCATCTTGGTTCCCTTCTAGGGGTCCCACTGAGGGGATCTTGTTCCTTCGAAGATCGTTGGGACTATTTCGACGATATGAGCAACATTTATTCGAACGGGCCCAAATGGGGCCTCCAGTGTCGGCACATTCCCCTATCTCTGGCTCATGTGTCCTTGGGCCACACTCCTTTAGTTTCCCTGTCTTGATCAATTCCTTTATGATATTCTAAAGGTATCTACATCCCTCCATGTCATGGTTGTGGTCTCGATGACACTTACAGTACTTCCTTGCATCTTGTAGAAAACCTACAACTCCCATCAACGCGAGATCTTTGAAATATTCCTAGTCCTGACTGGAATCCACGACTTCCGCCATCGATACCCTCAGAGGTGTAGTCCGTAAGCCCTCATAATCTTCATGCGGGTCACTATTACATGCTAGCCAACCGTGCTAGTCATGTCGCTCAGTTTTTCTGCCTTATCGTGTCATCTCCAAAACGACGTCAGGGTGGTTTACATTTATCCCACAATCTGGGTCCCCCTCTGAGGGGTCCTCTTTTTTGGGCATGGAGCTTTTTTGGCTTCCGCTTGGTGGTATTTTCCCAGGAAATATGTGTTTGCTGGCGCTCTCCAACAAATCGACCAATTTTCGGGGCTCGTTAAGTCTGAGGTCATAGGAAAAACTCTCATACCCTAGACCATTTTTCAAAGAAGCTACAATTGCATCACTTTAAGGTCCTTTACCTCCAACATTTCCCTTTGGAAGAGCGCCATGAATGTGCGCAGGCTCTTGTGCTGACCCTGCTTGAGCTTCCATATGGGCTGCACGATTTTGGTAGGTTTTTGGGCATTGGTGAACCACAATAAGAGAAACTTTTTAAAGTCGACAAAGTTGTTGATGCTTCCGGTGGGGAGTGCATGGAACTACTTCAGGGTTGACGACCTAAAAGTGGTAAAGAACATACGACATTTAAACGTGTTTGAGATTTTGAGCAGGCACATGACTATTCGAAAACAGTTATATGGCCGACTGGGTCTGATCGCCCTTTGTAAGCGTCCAAGGCCGGCAAGTTGAATTTCTCTGTGGACTTCATTCTGGGTATCTAAATGGGGGAAACGTTCACCGACTAACATGGAATCTCAGTGCGCCCTACTCATTGCCTTTCCACTTATGCAGATCCAGCACTATCATGGTACTGTGAGTCATTGACCCTTTCAGGGCTGTGGTTTTCCCTCCCGCTGTCGTCGATGCCACTTATTGTGGTTGGTTTTGTTTCTGTGAGGCCTAATTCTCTGTCAGTTCCATGACAACCCTTAGAACTTCAGCGATCTGGCCCGTCACTTGTTCCATAATCTGAGTCCTCACCTCATGTATCTCTCTCTGCATGCGTTCCTCAATGTTATCTCATTGGATATCCACACTAGATATCATTCTTTGATTGCTCCCTTCTCTCTAGGATTGTTGTGCTCATCTTCTTGTTGATGACATGGCTTCACGCTCAACCTATGGATGGATGGAGTGCCTTTTACCTCTCTGAGTGGCTCTATTTATAGGCCAAAATTCAGAGTTTTAGTGCAAATATGTGATTAAAAAAAAAATTGTCACAAAACTATTCTTGAGCACGCACATACATGCAAGTGCCCGCAAGGGTCTAAACAACATGCATGTATGGTCACACAATCACCCTCTACTCCACTTGGGAGCAATTTGCAACATGTCGGGCCACATCTTCCAACTTGCAGTTTTGCCTACCTCCCATGTTCCAACCCAACCCAGTTGACAGCTCATGCAACTGATTGATGCCCATGATCGACCACAACCTGACTCGGCAGTTGAATCGTGTGACCACCCGCACTTCCTAGAGCGAAGCTCGACCCACTCCAGCCCGTGGTCCACTGCTGCCACCGCACGACATAATCGCAAGCTCGAGCAAGCAAATGAGTGTTTGCGGGCGCAAGTGAGCAGAAGTGCACCCTCAGTCCCACTCGTGTACGCTTGCTCATTTCTACCTGTACCATTACGTCCTTGCTCGTGTTTGTGCTTGTCTATGGACCAAATTGCATCCTTAATATCTAATCATACTCATTTACTTGCACAAACGCACATACACACCCGCGCGTACATGATTGTGCCTCCAATGTTGACCACTTCCCTATAGACGCTACCACCACCGGAGTAACATTTCCCAATCGCCGTCATCATCTTTCAATCACAACTGAGTAATTGTTGACAATCATGACAATGGCAACCAGATCCAACCTCACAAAGTGCCAAGAACGAATCAAAATGTCTCAAAATAAAATTTTTTTGGAATATTAATTTTCGGATGAGATAGACAACATCGCCTGAAAATGTGGGGCAATTAGTATGTCATCAATAAATTTTTATCATCCTGTACAAATCTCGAGATATTTTTGAACAAAAAATATTCCTATTTCAAATCAAAGATCATCACACTCCCCAATTTCGATAATTTTATAGTCAGACTATCCAATCTAAGTCCAATCAAGTTCAGAACAAGCCTTTAAACTACTTTTCTCGACAAAACAAACTCAATGAGACTAAAATTGATCCAATCAAGTTCAGAACAAGCCTTTAAACTACTTTTGGAGGTTTTGGATTATCAATTAGAAGGTTATATGTTCAAGTCGAGCATCTCAATGGGAAGAATCCAGCGAGCATATGCTCCATTAATTTTGAGGCCAATAAGGCGCTCAAATCTTTAAAAAATCTCCTACAATCAAGGATGATTAATATGTATCGTTTGATCACGTTTTTTGAAAATATACTCGCCAAAAGACCAAAACACACCACCTCTAGTACCTATAATTAGACCACCTCTCTTCAAGTGAAGACCCGTGTTATTCTGGAATGAAGACCCGCCGATAACTTATACACATACATAACACTTTGGTGCTTGAAACTAATGCATGAAAATTTACATTCCATATCCGAAATGTGATCATATTGTTATTTTTCATGTGATAATAAAGATTTGAGTGCTATTCATGTATATATGAAAATTTAGGTGCAACATTTACAAATACTTGAGAATAGTTTGCTATGCGAGTAGATGTCCCTTAAATTTTTTTTTTAAGAGACAAGCTCAAATTGAAGCCTAAGGTTAAATTTTCATTGCTAGAAGGTGATGAAAACATGTTCATATGTTATAACTCATTCAAACAATTAGATTAATGGAAGCCACTAAATTAGTAAGTTAAAGTATGCTAAATGAAAAAAATCGCTCCAACTGTAGTCTAAAAAAACACAAATAATGAATTTCAGAAACATATCACCAAGTCTTCGCATTGCTAAAACTAGACTACTATCATCTTTCATATGCTCACATCACTGAAACCGACTTCATATTTTCAGCAAATTAACCGATATCAATAACAGCTATATATATACAAAAAAAAACTGGAGATCGAGATAAAAATATATATATTTATATGAGAAATGTAAAGAATAAAAATTAAAAACAAATGAAGAAGTGGCATACATGAAATCATACTCAAATAGCTCATAATAGGAAGAACAAGAAGCATGACAGTGATGTTTTTGAGTTGGGATCTAACAAAAACTACAATCCTACTCACAACTGGAACAAGTAGTACATCCACAAGGGAGAAAGTAAAGAGAACATCAGGATGGGCGCCTATAAAGCTGATGCAGCTCTCATGATGCATGTTCAAAATCAATAGAGAAACAAAATACATCAAATGTGGAAGGTTGTTTACCCCGCAGCAGCATCTGTTTTCTAAGCTTTGTTGCCAGGAGATTTCTGCCTCACAATCTCAAAACCTGGGCAGGGTCAACAAGGTGTTCGCTCGTGTCACGCCCTCCAACGCAGACCAATCCTCATTCTCAGTCGTTGAAGGAGGACTCAGAAGAGAGGGAGATCCATCATCTATAACACTACTGCTCTCCTCCACTGAGGACCCGGCGGTTCCATGGTTGTCTAGATTGGATGGCTCCAGCTTATCTCCATTTGCGTCCGATGCATCCATGGTCGGTTCTTTGATCTCGGGATCATCATTGTTCAGAAATAGACAGACTACAGCACAGTCATCAACTTTGGAGGTTGGATGCTTAAATCTCCATGCTCTAACCGCATGGTTGACTAAGGAACGGGCAGCAGAAGATCTATCAGATGCAGATGCAACGATGTTGATGACTTCACTGTTGGAAAGCACATCCCAGATCTGTTTGTATTTGTCAAGGATAAACATAACATCATTGGACAATCAAATTGGACAATGGCTTCTTCACGAATGAAATAATTATTTTGGCAATTCTTTAATTCATGAATATATACAAAAAAAAAGTATTTTTGACGTCTACATACCCCATCAGTAGCCAAAACAATGAACTCATCCTTCTCGGTGATGCGATGGTAAGTGAACTCGGGCACTGAGATAAGGCCAAAATCCTTGAGACAAAAATCGCCAAAAGCACGAGCCATGGCTAAGCCAGGAGAGTCATAGTTTGGCAACCAAATCCGTGCTACCTTTGGCTCATCCTTAAGGGCAAAAACCCTGCCTTTCTGTCGTCGAATTCTCTCTGCTTCCTCTGAAAATTTAAGGTTCTCAATAATAAGATAAGTGTTTGATACAATTCTGTAATACAGAGCAAAAATAAGAATATCAATTGGCATCATGTAAAAGCACGACAAAGACCAAAACATTAATATGACTATAGTTCCTTCACATATAGACTTTATTATTCATTTGTGCTCTGAATCAACATTGAAATGACCGCAGAAAAGGGATGGCAAAAATCATTTTTAAAAAGGATTAACCATAGCTATTAATAGAATGGCAGATGATTGGCGTAACATGGGGGAACAACAAACCAGCCAGCCTGAACGCATGCATGTGGTGAGCCAACCAATTTGATGAACTCAATGGCGTCGGACAAAAAATGATTTAAGTGTGCTCAGAGAACCGATGTCATCCTCTAAGAAGCCAATAGGTGGAATTGGCTGGCAGTGCTACAATTGGAAGTGTGAAAGGTGAAGTGTCCTGATGACAATTGTTGAGTCAACATTTGCAATGTCGGCGGCATCTAAGGAATAGTTTTTTTTTTTTTTTTTCTTAATCAAAGAGAACTAAACACCCCACAACCCAAAAATTATCAATCAACGAAAAAAACCTATGGTTGTCAACGAAGCTTGGTTGACTTTTGGAAGAAGTTAGAGGATAGCCTTTATAGCACAATGCTTGGTAGGAACTGGAAACAACTAGAAGTGGCTGTCTTAGGAAGAACTTTTGGGCAGCACTATGAAATTCCGTTTTTTAAAATGGGGAAAATTTTAATCTATAGCAGGATTAACTAAAATCATCAGCCTTTCATGAAACATATAGGCTAGGTCTAGTCCATAAGCGTCCAAAGAAGGGTAATTAAGGCAAGAATTCATAAGAATAAATTATAAGAAATGACATTCTAGGTCGATAGGCCAATTTTAAACCAGACATGAAAACCCAAATCAATCCCAACACAAATTTTGGGTTTGGGTCAACCATTTTAGATTCACGCTAGCTTAAGTAATCTAAGAAAAACAGATCAAATTTTGATCATGGCAGATCAAGTTAAGTTCAACCCAAAAATAATGACTTCATCCATTTTATTATAATATTCTTTGGTTAAATAACTCATATTAAATTGTAAGATTTTGCCATTTCTTTCCTTTTTTTTTTTTTTGAGTTTTCACGTTCACTTAGGATAGCTATGGTACTAAAACATACATGACTTGAGTGCTTTTCATGCTATGTAGGATCTGACACAAATTTAGTTGAACCGAATTCGAGTTGAAATTTTTAACATGCTTAATAAAAGGGCTGATTTTGGTTGAAAATATTTAAGTTGGACCAAACCCTGCTTTTTTACTCAAATTGTCACACCAAGTCGAGAGCGCACGTCAAGTCGGTCATCATGCACAAACTAGATGCAGAAGTGTGATATTCCAAATTGCTAGCACCAGGCAGGAAAGACATAAATTTTATGCCAACCAAGGTACCCAAAGAATAGCATCGAGCATAAGATGGTCGTGTTGCTAGGCAAAAAGAAACTATTGAGTGTCAATCAAAAAGGATGGTGCCCAAAGACTGGCACTAAATATCAAAGTAGGGATGTGGATGGAAGGAAAGTCACTGATCAATGTCAAACGTAAAGGATGACATTGAGATGATGGTGATGGGTGCTAAGGCAGGAAGGTATCAAGCACAGCAAACCACCAGAAGCAAAGGACGGCATCTTCAATTTTCAAAGAGCTGGCACTAAGAAGATGACATCGGGGTGAGAGCCGCCCAAAGGAAAGGTGTTATTAGCCAACCTGTGCAATTTTTGGGCAAAGAGAAAAGCGACCAAACATAATATGTTATGCCAATTAACCCAAGTTAGGGTGTTAGTTCAGTAGAGCAGGTATTATTGATTGAGCAAAGATAATTGCATCTGTCAACCAAGAAGAGGACACCAAACAAACAATTAAAATTTGCACCATCCGATCCTAGAGTGTCCAGAGCAAAGAGAGTCTCGATCATTCAAGACAAGTTGGTATCAGTTGGCTTCAGAAGTGGATGCTGACCAGGAAATTACTGCATCGGCTAGGAAGAATGGATTGCATTAGTTGACCGAGAAAGGGCGTTGGCTGGGCAAAGAAGGTGATAACCAATTAAGGAGTTGATGCCCAAAGGAAACAAAACCAATGACCATGACCCAATAAGTCAAGAATACGCATATAATTGACAATAGGATTAACATGAAATTAGAGTCTATGAGGGAGTTGAAAGATCATAGTAATGAAATACCACACGATAGTAATGATGAGTTGATGACTTTAATTTGATGATAGATGATGATATTTTATGTGTTGGAGAGCCTGGACCATCAAAAAGATATCATGCATCAAAATCAAATGTCTCTAGTCAAAGTTCAGTAACTTCAACGATTAAGGATTTGAAGGCAGAAGCTGCTGAAGAACCTATAGAAACATTCTTTAACCCAAATCCCATTAAAGCAATGAAACTGTAAAATGCAGAAAGACATGCATGCTGATAGGAAGGAGGTGATAGAAAGAGAAGCTCAAGTATTTTGTCATTGGATGTATGATGTTGGCTTTCAACACGGTTAAATATGAAACCTTCCTGGCAGTAGTGAAAGCATTTAGACAAATTGGTCATAGGATGAACCAACCACTTATGATGAGGTTTGGGTGCCATATTTGAGAAAAGAGGTCGAACACACAATTGTTGCAACACCATAAAAAGTTTGTCATATATATGGTTGTTCAATTATGGCCGATAGCTGAACAGCTCGTAATGAAAAAAATTTGGTGAAATCTTTTTTTTTTTTAATTGTCCTAGAGGAACAGCATTCATAGAGTCATTTGATGCTACCTCTTAATCAAAAAATATGTTAATGATGTTTGAATTCTTTAGCAAATTTATCGAGAAGATTGGACCACATTATGTTATCCAAGTGATCACTGATAATATTTCTGAGAATATTGCTGTTGGTTAGTGACTAAAATTCTAACCATATATTTCAATTTGATTTAATTGTAATATTTATTATATTTCAGTTATTGATTGTTGGATGTTTTGAGAAATTATAGTAAGAAAGAAATTGATGGATAAATATCCACACTTTATTGGACTCCTTGTGCTACTCACTATTTAGATTTAATGATGGATGACATATTCATAATTCAAAAATTAAATATAGTATTTTCAAAAGGCAGTTGTTGTACATAGTTTCATTTATTCAAGACCAAGATTGCTAGATTGCTAGACTTAATGAGGGGATGTACAGATCAAAAACCGCTTATTTAACACTGCAAAATTTTGATTTGTCACTAACTTCTTAACATTACAACTTTTTCAGCAACAATAATCACATGTGAGAAATTTGTTTTGTACCATATTCAAGGGCGGCAAAGCAGGCACAGCAAGCTATCTTAAAGCAATCTTTATGGAACATTGTGATATATGCATCAAAATTGGTGGCCGTTGTTGAAGGTCATTAGATTGGTTGATAGAGAAAAAAAACCTCTGATAGGTTATGGTTATATTTATGAAACGATGGATAGGGCTAAAGACCTCATTATTGCTCATTTTACCGATAGTGACAAGTACAAGTAGATTTTTAAAATTATTGATAGAAGATAGAAAATGCAATTTTATTGACCTTTGCATGCAGCTGCACTTTTCTTAAATCTCGAATATTTTTTCAGTGAGCCTAAAATTACAAAAGATAAATAAATAGTTGATGAATTATATGCATGCATTACAAGATTAACTAAAGATGCCGATGAAGAAGATAAGAAATGAGTTAAGTGTGTATATTAGGGGAGAAGGATTATTTGGAATTCCTTCAGTTGTAAGACAAAAAACCATTCAAGCACCAGGTAATATGATTTCAGTAAAATTACAGATATTATTAAATAATAATTTTAAATTTAAATATTACTGAAAATTATTAAATACTTCTCAAATGATTAATGGCTAAAATATGACAAAGAAGCCCCGCACTAACAAAGTTTTACGATTAAAGTGTTTAGCTTAACTTGTAGTTCATCTGTATGTGAGCATCTTTCAATATGCAATTATGAAACATAAATTATGTATTGGTTCTTATCATCAGACTTTATAGATTACTGGATTTTATAATTTTTAATTGCAGCTTCATAGCAAAAGATGAAGTTGAATGGATCAAGATCTCCTCAAAAACTTAGTTCATGTAAAATACTAAGCTTTATTTCATAAATATAACAATCATAATGTTATTGACCCTATATCTTTGAATGGATAGAGGATGTTAATGGGCGGTTAACTAAAAATAAATGGATGAACATTCAGATAAAGGTAATAAGTTTATTATTGATGAAGATGATTTGACATGAACAACTGTTGCAAAAGTTGCAGATGTTTATGAAATAAGTTGTATTAGACAACAACCTAAAGGCAAAGAGAAGGGATCTTCATCAAAGATTAACATTATTATAAGTGAACATAAAGATGATGAGGGTGATGCAGAAGAATATGGTTAAAGAGATGATGATGCACATGATGGAAATGAGGCTTTTTTGGCTTATGATGATGATTATTCTTTAGATGATTAATTTAACATCCTATGAAAATATTATGCTTTTAAAAAAATGGAATGATTTTGAATTTTAAACTATTGAGATGTTGATTATTGAGCAGTTGAACTTCCACATTATTTTTGTTATTTTAGTTATCATGATGTTGTACAATTAAATTTAATAGTTTTTTTTTTTTTTAATTCATAACTCTTAATATTACATATTACGTGTCATGTTTAAAATGGTGTGTGCACAACGCACTATCTATTAAGGCTCCACAATGACCTTTGTGATATGGTGCGCCCTTCGCCATTAAGTTTGGTTCAGTGAGATTCAAAAAATGATGAAAACAATAAAATACATAGAAATAATAATGTGCAATACGGCTGGAGCATGTGGATGTAGGTTATTATAATCAACAAAGATAAAAATGGTAAATCAAAGTTTATGAAAAAAGACTTGTTATGAGCCTAAATAAAAATGTAGCAATTTTCTAACAATACCATAAAAGCTATATAAAACAAACTAATATATAACAGTGGCTAAATGATTAATCATCTCTCAATGCATATATGCATAGTTCAATTGAATCATTCTCGCCAAAAAGATCTTAACTCAGTTATCTGTAACAAGAACCAATGAAATCGCAAAAGCACTATATTTCAAAAATAAAAGGACAACCACATTAGATGAAAAGGTATACATGACAGGAGGGTAGATTATATCTAAAATTTACAAAATAAGCGAAGCATTTTTATTTTCTAATTTTTTGGAACATTATATGAAAGGACCATTTGCTTTAATTTTTAACCATTATTCCCTCACTAGGATGATGGAGAAAGCCAGAGAGATAACTCACAGTGAAGAAGCTAAAGTGTGCTTAGTTCACCCTAGAATGCATTTGTTTCTCAACCAAAAAAAAAAAACAAAAACAAAAACAAAAATATGACCATCAAAAAAGAAATGATGGAACTGATTTTGCATCTAAAGTTACTGCATGGAATACAAGTTATGATCATCATAGGCAAACAATTAGGGGCGGCAGAATAAAGGATATGGTACTCAATAAATATGACAAATGATTGTCAAGAGAAATAATTGGTGAAAGCTAAATATACTTATAACTCCATGTTTTTTTATAACAGCAACCAAACAGTCATTTTGGACATGAAATTAGCATGTACAGAGCCGTAAATTGATTTGCATACTAGGAAGATTTGGCTTCAGGTCCACAGTCAACTGAACTGCAACCAAACAGTCATTTTGGTCTCTTGTACCCAAGATGGCTCTGGAATCTCCGACATTTCCAATCACAATGTCTTGACCCTAAAGAAAGCATCCATGCCGAAATCAAGAAGTTGAAATGAAAAATTATAACTAATTATTGTAGAAAACTTTAAATTTCAAAGCATTTACTTGCTTCACCAGGGTGACTGCAGTTGTGCCGCTGCAAAAGCAGTCAATTTTTCGACTTGATTTAAGTTCTTTATCCATGACCTTGAATGCCTTCAAGAATGACTCCTTCAATGTAGTGTACACTTGTGGAAGCTTGTCCTCCTCCAAATAATTGGAAGCCCTTAACTCGTCTTCCAAGCATATAGACGCCGTCCCATCTGAGGTGAGGATTCCTTTATGCTGTTCTGTCTTGACTCCTCATTTCCCAGATTCACTTTCCATTGAGCACTCAGCTTCAAAGGAAGAGAATCTCTTACTCTCCTCGCAACCATATGTCCAAATGGACCATGGCCATCAAAGACACCACAGAAAACTGTGTCCGTCCTTGAACCAAAACTCTACAAGCAAAAGATGTACATTTCCAATTGTTAAAAAGTAAAATCAAATCAAGGAAGATCTATAATTTTTAATTAACTTTATGGCTTCAATAAAATTAAACTATTTGAAGAATAAATTAAAAAATCAAAAGTCATGTAAAGAGGCATATCTGACAAAAAAGTATCACATAGCAACTCCCAAAAGAATCAAGCTTAATTATACTCGGGGCATGAAACTTGGGCCAACAAGAACAAAAGTAAAAAAAAAAAAAAAGAAATTGGTCGCCAAATCAGCCTTACTAATGCATGAATATTAACATGAAAATGCATTACCCAAATATTATTGAAAACTTTAAGATCAACATAATATACAAATTAAATTAAATACAATGCAAACTATCAAACATCCAATGGCAAATATTTTATATCTAAAACAAGAAAATACTTAAAAAAAAAAGAATCTTTTACACCCCACCCCCCCAACCCCCAAACAAAACAAAATTTAAAAAATAATAATAATTTAAAAGCAATGATTATTTTCTTTTAAATATTAGAAACCTCAATATTCTGGACTTCCAGTTGTATCATTCCATTATACTATGTTGCCTAAATTGTGAAATAAGAAATACGTGATATTATTTATTACATTTTAATCGAAATTGGACGCGTGTCACACCTACAACGCATCTGTATCTTCATGTGTCAAGCACTAAATCATTTCGACACATCATAGATTCTTATGACTTGCATGCCGACCATATAGGAGATCTTTAGCATAAGGCCAATGTAAGAAATTGAGAAAGTAGCAGCGTACCGTTATTTTTTTCCATAAAAAGAACTAACCATCAGTCAAAAGTAGATAAAAAATAATTTTTTTACAAGAACCCGTTCAAAAACTGATCAGCTAAAACAAATTGCAAGCACCAAGAACACAATACCATGATCCATCCTCAGTTAAATGATGCAGAAAAACTCGAAAAAGCAAATAAAAAATAAAAAATCGAGAGCAAAAGAAACCCTAGTAAGAGAAGCAACTGCAAAATTGAGAAAGAATTACAGACAAACAAAGAGAACCATAAAAAATTCACAAGTAATTATACCTCCCACACAATCATGGCATCCTGGTTGACCCCTTTCTTTCCCTGCTGACTGAAGAGGGAGGCTATTCCGCTCTCCCCATTACGAAACATCCTTCCCGGAATCCGTTGGAGTTGTTCATTACCACGGTTCGACTCAACAGATGAGTGCCGGGACAAACTTTGCCTCCTCCCAGCCTTCTTTCCCCTCTGCTGGCCCAAAGTCGGTGAACCAGTCCCGAAACACGATAGCCCCAAGCCGCTCCTCCCGCCGCCATCCGGCGACAGGCAAGAGCCCGTGCTCAGGGCCTTCAAAAAATCGAGTATGCACTCCAGAACAGCCAAACAGCTTACCCTGCCGTTTTCTATTGAAAGCTCCGTCGATTCCTCGCACGACAAACGGACCCCTAGACGGCCCCGGTGAAATCAGCACAAGTTCCACTTCGTCAATCGAAGAACCTTGTTTGCTCCCCTCCTTTTTTCTTCAAACTCTATAAACTTCAAGAGATACTCGCCTTAAAATTGGCAAACCTAACGGGAACATATGCTTTCAGAATCAAACGAAGTTCTCCATTAAAAGAGAAACCAAGTCGCAGAAAGATGGGAAATAGATGAAAGAGCGAACATGAGCAAGAGATCCATACCTTGAACGGCCAAGAAACAGATGGAAAGAAGAAATCGAAATTGTCCTGCAATAACTTCTTGAACAGATCGACCACTCTCTCTCTCTCTCTCTCTCTCTCTCTCAAGCGCGTACGCGCAAGCGCACACTCTCTTCTTCGTCTTCCCACATCTACTTGTTCTCTTCAATTACGACCAATCACCTGCATTTCTTACGTGTTCTGATATTTGTATATAAATACTCTTAATTTAGGATCTATGTGTTTAAGTCATTTTTTGTTTATTCAGACAAGCAGTTTATCCTGAAACGTAGTCCGTGGGTGGCTCGTAGGGTTCGACCCACGACCTATGTAAAGTGTTTTCCAAACAGTGAGGCAGGATGTGTTTAAGGTAACTTGTGTTTATCCATATAAGGAGTTTATCCTAAAACGTGGTCCGTGAGTGGCCCGCAGGGTTCGACCAAACATGTTTTCCAAACAATGAGGCGTCGTTTTGAAAACGCTGCTCACACTTATAAGCTACCCCTAATGGTCCCTTAATTACTGGCATGAAATTCATTTGGAAAAAAAAAAAGTATTTATTTATAGAAATACAGGCATAAGAAATTAATTAATTAATTATCACGCATGCGAAGCTGTATTTAATATATATGAACTGATAACGCTTTAAAGATAACCATCGTGATATCAATTGAGTCCATAAGATTAATTATTTTTTTATTTTTAATTATTTTTCGGGGGCATCGCAATTATCTGTTGGTTGCATACACCCTCCACCAGACCACAACTGAACATAGATTTTCAGGATAAAGGATGCACTCAACGGCCGTGATTTAGAGCCCAGGTTGGATTTTCTATGTGCTGGACAATCTGTGTTAATCCCTTCATGATTTTTCTAATGTAGATCAGATGTCTAACAATATGATTTTTAAATTAAAAATAATAAATTTAAAATTTTATGTTTCAGAATTTACATTCAATTTTGAAAAAAAAAACTCGAGATTGAAATTTCATTAATGATATTACGTGTTAAATTGGAGAAAATATTATTAGTATTGTTGAACACATATTTGTCTTTGAATCACACCTAGAATGTGTGAGAGAGAAAGAGTTATATCTTAGGGATAGAGTTGAATGGTACGAAGTTAAGAAAAAATATACCTTGGATAAAGGTCATGATCCTCGTTTACATTTAATTTTTACTATTTATGGTAGGTGACCTTAGTAAAATGGCATATATGGGCCTATCTCCCTTCAATCCTCTTGACCCCTAATAACTTTGTCCTTATTTTGATTTGGGGACCTCACATAGGTTTACTTCGAGCTACATAATTGAATCATGAACACTCAGTTACTTGATCTTCAGATATCTAGTTTTGATTTGTCGTTCGTTGGTGTTCGGTTATTGTCGCTCAATCTCTATCGCCTGTCTTCTAATGGTTTAGCCTTCGTCATTCGGCCTTGGTCACTCGGTTTATTGATATGATATTTGATCTATCATGGGCTAGTTTTCTCGGTGGCTGGATCCTAAGCCATCCACTTACGATAATCTTGGTTATCACTTTTTGTTGTACATATTTAGCTCTTTGATTCTCGTATCTTAGAAAGACATGTTGAGATAAATGTGAGAGAATTAAATTTTAATAACTAGCCTCAAATTATAAAAAAAAAACTCATACAATAACTATTCTCTTGAATTTTGTGCCCCTAACACTTTTAAATAGAGCGACGAGATGTCTCGGAATCCTTATTTGATTCAGCTCTTCCCTTCTCTTCAACTTGATTACTCTTTTGTTTTGCTCTAACTTGTTATAGCAGATCTGTCCCCGTCACAGACAGACATATCGAACAAGGTCCTTCTCTATGACATGTTTAATGAACATAAGTGTGAGGTGAGAAGCAAAAACTTTTGAGAAAGCACAAGCAATTTGATCAAACTCCTAGCCAGGAGGGCTCGTCTATGTTGACTCCATAAAATATCTTGGCTCAGCCAACATATGTTGTCTCCACCCCAAGGGTGAAATCACTAATGGGTGGTTGAGCAGAGGTGTCTCCCCTCAGCATGAAGCGTCGCAACCTTCGAACAAGTCACCCGCTAATTGGTCTTGGCTCAGCCAACATAAGTTGTCTCCACCCCAAGGGTGAAATCACTGATGGGTGGTTGAGCAGAGGTGTCCCCCCTCAGCATGAAGCGTCGCAACCTTCGAACAAGTCAGTCGCTAATTGTTTGTACCAATGATTTTGAATTTTTTAAACAACTGAACGTGATGGGTAAAAATTCTTTGGAGGAAGCAAACACACACACACACACACACACACACACACACATATATATATATATATATGTACATATATATATATATATATATGTACGTATATATATATATATATATGTGTATATATATATATATACACATATATATATATATATATACACATATATATATATATATATACACATATATATATATATATATAGTTAACTTACTTCGGATTTCAATTTCATTTTTTTTCCATCAAGTCTTAGTATTTTATTTGTCGAAATTTCATACAAATTCAAATTTAGAGAGGTTTATAAACTTTTTATAGTGTAACTTTTTATATGTTGTAGATTAGACAAACTAGACATATCAACATATTTACTTTTAGGCTCGTATTTTGTGATGTACAGTATTTTACATATTTAGTCACTGTGTCAAACCTGATGAATTTATTGTAGAACAAGAAATGCTTAAAATATTATTATTGATATTTCATATAAGTGATTTTGTAATTTTGTTTTTTGATATATGTAGAATTATTTCTTCCGCAACTTATATTATTACTTGTGTCTGTTGGTATGTATTATTTTCTATAGCATATTGTGATATTTAATATATCAAAATTGTTAGTATTTATATGCTTTTATAACAAAATATGTGTGAAAAATAATAAAAATGGGGGAGTTGCAGGTGGTTGTGGTTGGGCGACTATATGTTATGTGCAATTAAGTCGAGTTATAAGAACTTTTGCATATATGTAATTATTCGTCTATGACTTTGTCATGCCTAAACAAATGTGAACAAGTGGAGGTATAAGTGAAAGTGGAGTTATAAGAGGCATATGGGAAATATGAATAAGTGGATGTATAGGTAGAAGTGGAGATATTAGGGGTAAGGAAAAAAGGATTAAAATAATTCAAAAAAAAGAATTGAATTTTAATTTTCATAGTATTTTTTGCAATTTTGATTTCATGTTTCTTATAATATTACTCAGCACAAGCCTACTATAGTTACAATTTCTTGTATTGGCATTATGATAGATATTATACAAAATGTTCACCGCATTTGTTTTATTTTCTTTGAATACAAGTTTATTTTTTTCATATTGAAAATTCTAGAAGATTTTGGATAGCTTACTGAGTTGTGGTTGCTCACCCTGGCTTTACTGTGTTGTATCAGGAAAGGGTAAGGCTCGGGTTGAGTAGAGAATTTTGAGTTATTAGTAAGAGCTTGATATTAGGTATTTCAATATTTTTTATCTATATTTCTTACATTTATTAGTAATGTTTATTTTCTGATGATAGATAAATTAAATCATGATTATTGTATATGTTTCCATTTGTTGTATATTGATATGAAGTGAATAAATTTTTGATATTTTTATTTTATCTATTCGATGATAGTGGCTCTACGTTTATGAAAATTGAAGAAAAATAATTAAACTAAATTTCTTCCAAATAGATATTGAATAAGCACCTTGCCTCCATATGATGGGTTGCGTCGATTTGGGTTGTGATGGAATTTTTTTGTATCAGAGCAATGGATTTGAATGAATTAATTTATAACCAGAGTCATAGGATCGATAGTAGATGAGTCAGAGAGTTTTGGTGGTTTAAGATTAATTTTCTTTTATATCCTTTCTTTGATGTATGCTAGATTATGTTATTGTATGTGCAAGTCATGTATAAGTATTGGGTAATTATGGATCCCTATGATTAAGTTGTGATAGATGGACACAATTCCAATCAATTTAGGGCAGTACAAAATATAGTGGGAGCTCTCTGTCAGATTCAATGACTCAGTTTGCTAGTTTGGTAGCTCAATTGATCGGTGATGCTCACAACAAAATGTCTACTGTTAGGAGTAGAGGAGGAAGATAGACATTTGAACTTATTCTTGATATTGAAGCCAACTCATTTCAAGGGAGCAATGGATCCTTGAGTGATTGAGGATTGGCTACTGAGACTAGAGAAATCATTTGATAGCTTGCAGTGTCTAGAGAATCGTAGGTTACCACTGACGGTGTTTTTACTTGATGGTAAAGCTGAGTGTTGGTGGCCAAACCTCGAGAGGGAGATGTTTCAAGGCAAGAGGTATACTTAGATTACTTGGGAGCAATTTACTAATATATTATAGATTGATTTGTACCTCCATCAGCCATACAACTTATTCAAGAGTTCTTTCTAAGATTGGTTCAAGAGAATAAGACGGTGATATAGTATGAGGTTGAGTTTACTGCATTAGAAAGATATGATCAACAATTAGTCAATACTCTAGAGGAGAAGTGTTATAGATTATTGAGAGAACTTGGGTATAGCTTAAAT